AGGGGTCTTCTGTAATACTATCATCGTTAAATAATAGCATGTACATATATATTTTGACATTTTTAGGCAATGCTGTGGTCACAAGCTGAACAGTAGTACTGTGAGATCATGCTGTGTGCACCAGCCTTGGTGGTTCACTCAGTACTGAGGCCCTGATACCCAGGAATGTTGCCCATGATTTTTTTTTTTAAATTGCATCTGTTTACAGGAACTCTGATGAAGGTGACGGTGAACCCTTGTATCTGCGGGCTGTTTAAATATTGCGTAGTACTCCAACACATCATTTGACGTGATGCACACTTTTGGGCAAGTTACTCAATACGTCATATGATGTGTTGCACAGTTTAAGGGTTAAGTGAGGCTGTGGGCACAAGCTTCACAGTGGTGCTGAGAGCTGCTGCAGTATGCCATACCCATGGTTGCACACTCTCTCAGTACTGAGGCTCTCACATCCACAATAAAGGTGCCCACATTTTTTTTTCTTCTGGGGGGAGCCCCGTCAGCTCCCCAGAGCTATCCAGGCTGAATAGATATGTATAACTTTCTGGCATCAGTCAAAGTGCTTGGAGTTCTTGCCTACCAGGAACCACGAGCCAGAACCTGGCCCCCTCAGAGAGGCATGAGGAGCAATGGCCTATAGAAACCCCCTTGTGGTTGGGAGCATTCTATGTCTGCCATCCACCAGGATAGGCACTCAGAAAGGTAGGTGCCCCAAAACAACCGTAGGTGCCCGCCTACGGTTCAGAGCCGGAAGCAAGGGAAGGAAGTATGCACAACAGAATGGGAAGGACTAGGAGCGGAAGGAACCAGAGCTGAAGCGACCCCCACCCCAAAGTCTGGACCCCGACAATCAAAACGGGGCAGTACCGGGGCATCCGGGCCGCAACCAGCCTAGAGCATTGCAGCAACCTAAACCTAGCATGCAACTCCGCAGCTGCCTGCACCCGCTTATCATTAGCAGTGGCCTGGGTGAACGAGAGCACATACAGACAATACCCGTTGCAAGACTCTCGGTCAAAAGAAACAACGACCCAACAGGCAGCATGGCGGAGGCACAACCGGTGAGCGTCACCCTGAGACAAGGGGACAGACCAATTGCCAAACTTGTAAGACACGAGGGGGGACTCAGGGGCCACATCCAATGGACCACGGAGCCCCTGTGGGGTTTTCCAGGGCCCTTAGCCATGGGTACACGCTAAGGGAAGCCCAGGCAGGATACTGCGAACCGGCACCCGAGTCTACCAACCAAACTTCTAAAAGCTGAACCCCGGGGACGTATCCACTCATGGGGGGGCCAAGCGGGGAGTACCACCAAACAAAAAATATATATAAACTCCTAGAACAGTAAAGGGGAACCACAAAGGCAGACCCCCCCCACGAGGCAAAAACAAAACAAAAGAAAAACCCTGCAAGAGGACAACGTACCCAGGCAAAACAGAGCCAGCCACTGTTATTGGTGAAAACTAGCTGTGCAGTACCCTGCGCCCCTACCAGTGACGAAAACTACCTCCTACACAGAGACAAACAAGGGCAACAAAACCTCAGCCGACTCCAATGGCGGCCCAGTACCGAGCAGTAAAAGACACAAAGGAGATAGATTCCAAGGTGACTTGTGGAAGGTGGCCCCAAGCCCCAGGGCAGTACTTACAGGGCACCTAGGGAAGAGAGCCCTAGGTGCATGCAGCCCAAGTACTGTGGAATCTCACTCCTGGCTCTCACCCCACCGGTAGAGACAGCCCACACCACAAAGCAGAGAACTGAAACAAAACCGGAGCCAGAGGCACTCAACCGGCTGGTAATCACACCAGCCAAGAACTGCCAGTTGGATCGCCGGCTCGGGTGGTCTGGGGCTCCCCTTCCCCTCCCAGGGTGGAGGGGGGGGGGGGTTGTGCAGACGGCAGCGAGGCGACGTGATGACATCATGCTAGTTTGATAATTTTGTTTAGGGGAGGTCTGTCCACTCATTCGGCTTTCGGTAGCAATATTTTCACAAGAATAGGGGGTTTATTTTGGGGCGCCTACCTTTCTGGGTGCCTATTTCAGTCGATGGCAGACATAGAATGCTCCCAATCACAAGGGGGTTTCTATAGGCCACTGCTCCTCGTGCCTCTCTGAGGGGGTCAGGTTCTGGCTCGTGGTCTCCGGTAGGCAAGAACTCCTAGCACTTTGACTGATGCCAGAAAGTTATACATATCCATTCAGGCTGGATAGCTCCGGGGAGCCTCTGGGACTCACCCTGAAAATGGCGTTTCATTACATTCAATGCTGTTTTTTTTATTATTATTATTTATCATGATGCCTGAGGAAGCAAGTGAGAGTTCTATGAATGTGTGAAATCTTCAAATCTTATACTGTATCTTACATTAAACTGTCCCTCATTGATTCACGCAGTGGGTCAAAAATGGCACATTCATCCCAGATTGACATGCATATTTGAAGGGGGTTAATACATACTACACATGCTCCACAGTCCCTGGGGGTTCACTTCATCACGTACCATCATCAGATGCATAAATAATATTAACCCTTGTGTGGCTCCGGGCTATTTAGCATTTCTCACCCACAGGCGCATACCCAAAAAAAAAAAAAAAAAAAAAAAAATTCTTCTAAACCTGTTAATTTGTGTTCTCTGATCATGGGAAAAATAATAAAAAATTGTAAGTGGCATATATTACCCGCTATAGGGTGGGGATGTTTGGCCAAAAACAGGCGCTGACTCAGGGTGCGTCCCAGACGGTCTGTTGCTCCCATTTGTTAGGCAGGAGTGGCCACAAAGAAATAATTACCAAATTATTTCAATGTCTCTGATTGATTTTTCATATTTTTTTTGCTGTAATATTATTCAATAGTGTGTAGTGTGTGATATACTTGTATAATAAAATGAGTGAATCATCGCTGTACTCATAAATATGGTGTGCATATTGTTGATTCAATTATTATGTTCATGAAGCAGTGAACAAATACTTGTCAGTTATTACACTATATACACAGGTTATTTACAAGTATCTTCATGTTTTGTTCACCATAACGAACCACTAAGTTGCTATTATGAGTCAAAAAGCAACGAGGAGTGATCGCCACACACCAATCAGCCACTTGCTGCCACTCACTGCCTCAACACCTCACTCACACACATTCTCCTCCCACCATACTGTTTTTGCTTTTATTTACTATATACAGACGTTATATAAGTATCTACATTCATGTTCACCATAACGAACCACTAAGTGTGCATGCTGAGTGGCAGTGGCAGCCAGTGGCATCCCGCCACTGGCTGCTACTTCCTCCCTCCCTCAACCTTTACAGTCTCCGTGGTGTAGTGGTAAGACACTCGCCTGGCGTTCCGCGAGCGCTATGTCATGGGTTCGTATCCTGGCCGGGGAGGATTTACTGGGCGCAATTCCTTAACTGTAGCCTCTGTTTAACGCAACAGTAAAATGTGTACTTGGATGAAAAAACGATTCTTCGTGGCAGGGGATCGTATTCCAGGGACCTGCCCGAAACGCTACGCGTACTAGTGGCTGTACAAGAATGTAACAACTCTTGTATATATCTAAAAAAAAAAAAAAAAAAAAAAACTCACCTGACTCACCCACATTCTCCTCCCATAATACTGTTTTTGCTTTTATTCACTATATACAGATGTTATATATAAGTATCTACATGTTTTGTTCACCACAGCTATACAACTAAGTTGATATAGTTAGTTCAGGCACTAAGAGACGTCGCTACACACAGTCAGGTGGCGGCTGGTTCCCTCACACATTCAAGGTGAAACGCACTAAAATTTCACCCCCAACAATGCTGTTTGTGGTGTTATTACCCTATATACAGATGTTATATAAAAGAATCTACATATTTTGTTCACCATAACTGTTCAATTAAGCCGGTATAATGCCCAAAGAGCATAGTGGCCACCCCTACAAACATGACAAATCATGCAGATGTTGCTACACCCATCACCAAAATGGCTTCTCCCCCACACTCCTTTTGCTGTTATTACACTGTATATACACGTTATATATAAATATCTACATTCGTGTTCACCATAACGAACCACTAGGTTGGTATGCCGAGTGGCAGTGGCAGCTCGCCACTGGCTGCCACTCCCTCCCTCCCCTCATCTCACCTGACTCGCCACCATTCTCTTCCCACCATACTGTTTTTGCTTTTATATACAGACGTTATATGTAAGTATCTGCATGTTTTGTTTACCATAACGAACAACTAAGCTGGTATAGTGAGTCCAGACAGTAAAAGGTGGTCACACAGTCAGCAGACAACGCTACCTCCCTCCATTCCCACCAAGATTACTCCTCTCACTACAGCACTAATTATCACAATAATCCTGCTATTATCAGAATCCTGGTAATTTTTATCACAGTCAGGGGTCTTCTGTAATAATGTCATCGCTAAATAATAGTATGAACATGCATATTATGGCATTTTTAGGCGATGCTGTGGTCACAAGCTGAACAGCAGTGCTGTGAGCTCATGCTGTGTGCGTCAGGCTTGGTAGCTCAATACTGAGGCCCCTCACACCCGGGAACTTGGCCCACGATTTAAAAAAAAAATGGCGTCTGTTTACAAGAGCCCTGATGAAGGTGTGGTGAACCCCGTGTATCCGCGGGCCGTTTAAATCTTGTATAGTACTCCAATACATCATATGATGTGGAACGCAAGTTGCTGCAAGTCACTGAACACATCATATGATATGTTGTGCACTTAAAGGGTTAATAGTAATAATAATAATAATAGACTTTTGGACCTAAAATATGTCTGTATAATGTACAGAAACACAGTTGTATTTAAATAGAAATAATACAGTATATAATTACCATGCCTTTGTCCTCCTACTGACATTGCTATGCCTTTGGTGTATGGTGTTCTTAACCACTGAGACTCACACCTTGGTCGCTGTTCAGTACATGTGGCTACTTGTAAAGTTACCATTCTTATAACTTTGTAAAGTGAAGGGTGATACTGACCAAATATTGCAGTGTTGGGGCTGTACATGGTGCCTGCTCTTCTCTACTGTCTCTACAACAATTTGGCTTTTGTCAACTTGGCAGCTTTTGACCCTACTACATACTTCTTGTTGCTTCAGCTCAGGGTTGTGGTCACAGGCATTAGCTTCCAGGTATGGAGAACTTGCTATATTTACTAATATGGAATCATTTTGGGTTAATATTCTATTTACTTTCCAATTGCATGTCTGTAGATTACTAATATTATTGGTTTTCACTCACACAGTCATATCTGATAAGTGCATGCCATTCAACATTTTGGTGGTACTGAACTAATCCAAAAAAAGCATGTTTTGTTTTCAATAAACAGAAACTAACTAAAAAGTTATTCATAACTGTATGGTTAAGAAATACAAAATGAATTTACATGAAACAATGTATAAATATAATTGGATAATTCATGACATACAAATATGATTAATTTCAGTAGAAAATTTATTATCTTTTTATAGAATTTAGAATCATTAGATACTTTTAAACCAGCATGAATCTGTTGCATCACATGTTTAAGGGTTCTTTCACATTAACATACATGTTTCCCTGTTCATATGTATCCCAATAATAAATGTTTAAAACAATTCATGTTTATTGTATAAAAAGTACAACTCTTTAATTAATCTTAATGTATACCTTGCATTTACTTTGTGGTGGTTCTAAGTATTACTGTCCCTACAGCTCGGTCTCTGACCAGGCGTCTTGCAGCATTTGTTAACCATCAAAGTGCAGTTATTGCCATACATTAATTCATGGGGTAATGCAGTTATTATACATTAATTTAAACTATTATTGTCTGGGTTTTATATCAGTGATATTAATATGGATATAATAGCTCTATGAGGGTGTAGTGGAGTTTACCTTGGCTCATGAAAAGAACCAGCATTGAATGTAACGAAATGCCTCTTTCTGAAGGAGCCCTAGAGGCTACCTGAAGCGATCTTGATGAGATAGCTCTTTACTAAAAGTCTAGTAAGACGTAAAAGTTCTGTTTGGCCTATTAGGGGCCACAATCAGAACCCGGCCCACTCAGAGGTGCAGGGAGCAAGTGACAATCTTCCACTCCACCTGAATAAGTCTCCAGAAAGTGAGTAATGTTTTAGACAACTAGAGGGTTTTCAGAAAATGAAGCCTAGAAAGTGCCATTCAACTCTGCAAATTATTCACACAACAAGGAATTCACTCAAACTAGCTCGAAATTCATTAGTACCGATTACTACCACCAGGTGCCCCAGCTCTCGGGTGGCTAACCTGATCAGTTCTGAAACTGATGGAACAACCCTGTTGGCAGTGGGCTTCGTTTTCTGCTTTCTTCTGTGATATGAAGTTACGACCTGTAAACAAAATACTACGGAAAAAAAACATCGCTTTGCCTCAGTTCCGGCTTTCCTGTCCCTTGGCAGTCATTCGTTCCTCTTGCATTTTCTTCGCCTGCAAATGTTGTAGATGGGGTTCCTAAATCTACCACATTTGGGCCCCTGGGCGTTGGGCCTCTTCGCATCGGCATGTTCATGGAGTCTCAATGTGTATTCGCCTAATTGTGCTTGCGGGGTTGAGCTTTGGCTCTTTGGTCCCGCCTCTCAACTGTCAATCAACTGGTGTACAGATTCCTGAGCCTACTGGGCTCTATCATATATACATTTGAAACTGTATATGGAGTCAGCCTCCACCACATCACTTCCTAGTGTATTCCATTTATTAACTACTGACACTGAAAAAATTCTTTCTAAAGTCTGTGGCTCATCTGGGTACTAAGTTTCCACCTGTGTCCCCTTGTTTGTGTCCCACCCGTGCTGAAGAGTTTGTCTTTGTCCACCCTGTCAATTCCCCTGAGAATTTTGTAGGTGGTTATCATGTCTTCCCTTACTCTTCTGTTTTTAGGGATGTGAGGTTCAGCTCCTTTAGCCTTTCCTCGTAGCTCATTCCTCTCAGTTCCGGGACCAGTCTGGTGGCATACCGCTGAATCTTCTCTAACTTTGTCTTGTGTTTAACTAGGTATGGACTCCAAGCTGGAGCTGCATTCTCCAGGATTGGTCTTACATAAGTGGTATACAAGGTCCTGAATGATTCCTTACATAAGTTTCTAAAGGCAGTTCGTATGTTGGCCAGTCTAGCATATGCCGCTGATGATATTCTTTTGATGTGGGCCTCTGGGGACAGGTTCGGTGTGATATCAACCCCCAGATCTTTCTCTCTATTTGACTCTTGCAGGATTTCACCTCCCAGATGATACCTTGTGTTCAGCCTCCTGCTCCCTTCGCCTAATTTCATCAACTTACACTTTCCTGAGTTGAACTTTAGCAGCCATTTTCTAGACCATTCCTCCAGTTTATCCAGGTCATCTTGTAGTCTCTGTCTATCTTCATCCGTCTTGATTCTTCTCATAATTTGTGCTTGCTTGTCGTTGTTCTTGTTGGTTCGCGAACTCTTCGTATCTTCTACTATTATTGAGACGTTTGTTGACTTCCGGTGAGGTTTCCCTCTGGTCCTTTTTAGGACTCATTGGTTCCCTTCCGTCCTCTGTCTTCTTTCGCTTTGGTTTCGCCTTCTTTTGTTTTCGCATCATCTCTACTTCCAATTTTGACGTCCCTTGTCTTCGTTATGTACACCTTCCTGGAGTTTGTATGATATGTGTATACGATGTGTCTGTACATTATGTGTATGTACAATGTGTGTGTCCGCCTGGTGTACGAGCCACGCCACCCGGTAGACGGGTGGTGCGCTTCGTACCTCGTGCTCTGGGGCAGGGGTGTGCATTTTGTTTATGGCGATTTTGTGTGTGTGACTTACTGCCGGCCTCGGTGTTGCGCTGTCTGTGTGGGATGGTGGACTTTCTGTCTGCCGCTCCTGCCTTCCTGGTTCCTTTTCTTGGACCCGGTAGCTGGGTTCCAGTACTGGCTTCGGTTTTTCTTTGTTTCTTTTCTGGAATGGGTGTGTTAGCTTTCCTGCGGTTCACGTCCTGGGTAGTTCTCCTCTTGGATGCCTCAGGGACGCGTGCGTCATTCTTCCCTGCTGGAGCTGATTACATTGCTTCTTTGGGTTGCGGGGTCGCTGTTTTTCAATTTGCATTTTGCGCTTTCGTTCATGGTGCTAGTTTCTCGGTTGTGTCGGCACTGGTTGGTTCGTTATTGGTCTCCCACCTGCGTGTTACGTCTCGGGGGCAGTGTGTGGTTTTCCTGGCGGTCCTTCCGGTTTTCCTATCTCTGATAAGGATCCTTCGGTCTTTGATAGGGTTGGCTTCTCTTCCCTTCGGGGTTGTTCCGGGACCATCGTCTGGGATCGTGTCCCATCACCTTGTATTGGGTGGGGCTGGTAGAGCTGCTCCTGCTTGCGTTCTGTGTTACGGTTCCTTCTGCTCCATTCCGCTTGCTGTCCTGGGCGCTGTTTCCCCTCTGGCCTGCTCTTGCGTTCTGGTGCTGTCCTAGTCGTTGGCCTGGGTGGTTTATTTTCTTCTCCTCGAAAGAAGGAAGAATGATAGATTCTGTAATGATGCATTCTCCTGACCACGAGCCAGAACCTGGCCCCCTCAGAGAGGCACGAGGAGCAATGGCTTATAGAAACCCATGTGTGATTGGAAGCATTCTATGTCTTCCATCGACTGGGTCAGGCACCCAGAAAGGTAGGCGTCCCAAAACAAACCCCTATTCTGGTGAAAATTGCAACCAAAAACCGAACGAGTGGATAGAACTCCCCAAACAAAAACGAGCAAACTAGTAAGATGTCACCCTTCATCGCGCAGCTGTCTGCGCAGCTCCCCCCTCCCCGGGAGGGGGGAAAGGGTAGCCCCAGACCTACTACGCCAGTGATCCACACCCCAGTTCTTCGGCTGATGCTAATGGCACCGGTTGTGTGCTCCGGCTCCAGTGGTTGTTTCAACACTGTACCTAGAGTGTGGTGTCTGTCTTATAGGTGGTGCGTGAGCCGGGAGTGAGTCTCCAGTACTCGGGCTGCATGTGCCCAGGGTTCCCTTCCCTAGGTGCCCTGTAAGTACTGCCCTTGGGGCTTGGGTTTACCTTCCACAAGTTCCTTGGGTCTTGCTTCTGCTAGGCCGTTTGCTGCTCGGTTTTCGGCCGCCCTTTGTGTGATAGGGGGTTCTGTCTCCCTTGTTTGCCTTAGGGTAAGGGGCAGTTTGCACTGGCAGGGCGCAGGGTGCTGCGCAGCTTATTTTCACCAATCATAGCAGCTGGCTCTGTTCCGCCTGAGTAAGCTGTACTCTTGCAGGGTTTTCTTTTTCTTTTTGTTTGTCTACCTAGTGGTGGGGCTCTGCCTTTGGTTCTTTCCTCCTTTCTGCCAAGTTCTCTTCCTTCTTCCGGTAGTTTCCCCCTGCTAGGTCCCCGTGAGTGTACATGTCCCGGGGGTCTCAGCTCTTAGTATATTGTTTGGTAGCCATGGGCGCCGGTTAGCAGTACCCTGCCTGGGATTACCTGAGTGTGAGTCCTCTTATAGTAAATGCTCAGGACCCTGGGAAACCCATAGGGGGAGTGTGGGCCCGTTAGATGTGGCCCTGGAGGTTCCCCTTCTCTTTGTGCGAGTTCGAGGGTTGCTCTGTCCCCTTGTCTCAGGGTGACTCTCACGGTTTTGCCTCCGTCTGCAGCCTGTGGGGTCGGTGACACCTTCGGCCCGGGGTCCTGCAAGTTTTGTCGCTTGTTTGTGACTTGGTTACCCAGTCTTATGCCAACTATGTGGGTGCAGGCTGCACGGGCGTTGCACATTGGGTTTCAGTGGCAACGCACTAATTGTTTGCTCCCCAGAAGCCCCGAGGCTGCCCCGTTTTCGTTGGTGGCCTTGTCGGGTCCCATCCCCCTTCCTCCCTACATCCGGGTCTTTACCGTCTGTGGGTTCGGGGTCGGGGTGGGGCTTCCATGGTTTTGAGACTCGGTTGGTCTCGGGGACTTCCCCTTCCGGGGTAGCGACGGGAATATTCGAGCCTGTTTCCTCCAGCCGTGTTGTAAGAGTCTGCCAGTGGGCTCCCTTCCTTAGTGCTTTTCACGGCTGCCCCGGTTTTTCTTGAGGCTGGGGCTTTGGGGGGACAGCTCGACCCAGGGGCCTGCCGGGTGGGTTCCCGGGGATGGGGTTGGGCTGATGTGGGGGGTCTCAGGCCCCGTTGGTCCCCGCCGGG